ACTGGGGATGGGTTTGTCAGAGGCAATGAGATTGGCACAGGATAGAGCACGGTTTAGGGCTGTTGTACATAGGGTCGCTATGAGTCGCAAACGACTCGGTGGCACATAACAACAACAACAACATAAGGTTTTACTGTCCTTGCCTTTAAGGACCATCCTAATTCTACTTCCTCCAAGATGTTGTTGTTAAGTGCTGTCGAGTCACCTGCAACACATAGAGACCCTGTGGACAACAGCCCTAAACCCTGATCTATCCTGTGCCAATCTTAAAGTCTCTGACACACCTACCCCCATTATCCCAATGACTGAATCAATCTGTCTCATCTAGGGTCTTCCTCTCTTCCGCTGCCCCTCCACCCTACCAAGAATGATGTCCTTCTCCAAGGACTAGTCCCTCCTTGCAGCATGTCCAAAGTATGTCAGACAAAGCTTCAGAATCCTTGCCTCCAAGGAGCAGCCTGGTTTCACCCTCTGTAGAACAAACCTGTTTGTTAAGTTAGTAGTCCATGGTATACTCGATACTCTTCAACACCACAGCTCAAAGGCATCAATTGTCTTTCTATCAGTCCTAGTCATTGTCCAACTCTTTTATGAATAGCAAAGACCATGGCCTGTATCAGGCACACCTTGGTCTTCAGACCAACATCTTTGCTGTTTGGGAGTTTGGCGAGGTCTCTGACAACACATTTTTCCCAATGCAATTCATTTGTTAATTTCCTGGCTGCTGGTACCAAGAGTGTTGATTGTGGAGCCAAGCAACCTGAAACTGTCAACATCTCTTCATCACCTATCATGATGCTGTCAATGTGAGAATCTTTGTTTTCTTGTTGTTAAGTTTCAATCTGTATTGAAGGCTGCAGTCCTTGACCCTCTGCAGTAAGTACATGAGGTCCTCCTCAGTTTCAGCAAGCAGGGTTGTGTCATCTGCATAACAGATTGTTGATGAGTCTTCCTCCAATCCTGATGCCACATTCTTCCTCATAGTGACTAGCCTCCTAGATAATCTGTTCTGCATATAGATTGAAAAGGTATGGAGTGCATTTGGGGAGGGGGGATTGTATACCAATGAAGAAGTTTATCTTTTGCTTTTCAAAGAGAGGAGCGAACTGGGGAGAGGGGGCTAAATTAAAAAAGTGCAACAATGAATAAATGAAAATCCAAAATCTCTGTAAATGTTCATAAAAATTAATAAATTTTTTTTAAAAAAAAAAAAAAGAAGGTATGGAGATAGGACACATCCCTGGCATACACCGTTCCCAATTCTGAACCATGCAGTGTTTCATTGCTGTGTTGTGATGACTGCCTCCTGGTCCAAGTATAGGGTTTTATTCTTTAGACAGTCTATAGTATTTGCCTTGTTTTTCAAAGACATCGTGAATTCTTCTTTGGTCTTTGTTATTTAATGTACATCTTTCATATATTAAGCCGTTAAAAATATCATGACATAAGCCAGGCATGCTTAGTCTTTCCTATGACATCCTTGCTCTTTAACATTTAACTTAAAGGGTTCCGTACAGCAGATTTCCCAGTGCACAGAGCAGAAAACATTTTTGTTTGTAGGTGACTTTAGTTTTGTATTAAGTTATTGACATTTCCTCCACTAGTAAAATAAAAGCGGATAACTGATGTAGTAAATAGTTCACGAGCTATGTCTATCCACATGGTGTTTCATAACCACAGAGGGAATGTCTGCACAAAACGTTGATCAGTTTAAAAGCTTGTGTGCTGTGTCCACTGGAATGCACTGGGCTGACAGTGACAGAGAGGAAAACTCAGAATGGCTTATGGAGTAAAGAAGGTATATTATCTCAAAAGTGAAATGTCTAGGAATAGAATCATTCAGAGATTAGCAAACTCAGTGGCTCAGTTACAACCTTATGGGGTATTTAGAAGCAGCTCTGGTGGCATAGTCTGTAGGGAGTTGTGTGGTTAACCCAAAGGTGGCACTTCTCTGACAGTTTGAATCCACCAGAGTCTCTGACAGAAAAGCCTCTGGTAGCCTGCTGCGGGGCCAGCTGTGAACTGGCTCTGATTCTCCAACAATGAATTTTACTTCTAATTTCACTTGGTTCTCTTAACAGTAAGGGATCCTTTCCCAAGTGTCCCCAGCATTCTTCTCTTCAAACCATATTACTAGAATTGGGTCACAAGTCCACCCTAATAACTCACAGTAAAGGAAATAGGATTATTGAAACTGGTTTAGATACTCAGGATTTGCCTGAGGTAGAGACTAGGTGTCTTCTTGTGGGAAAGAAGAAAAGAATTTGACTCTGACAGAGGTAGTGTCTGCTTTGTAAGCTTGTGAAGACACCAGGTCCATGCTTCCATATTACTTCGCATGTTATTGTTATTAAATACAGTCAAAATGCTTGTAATCTTGTACAACAGCCCTGAACCCTGCTCTATCTTGAGCCAACCTCATTGTCTCTGACACACCTACTCCCATTACCCCAGTCACTGCGTCAGTCCACCTCTGCAGCTTATAAATTGTTTAAGGTATAATATTGTAACTTGTGACAAAGGCAGTTTTTTATATTAAAGATTAGTCATCCTCCCATAAGGAAAGACAAAACAGACATCTCAATTCAGAAAAGCCTTCAATGTGTGAGTGGCCTCCACATCATCGTCCCAAATTAAAACTGTGAATAGCGTATAAAGGGATAAATTGTTCCACTGAAATAGGTATTTGAGAAGGAGCTAGCAAGAACGTAAGTGAATAAACATGTGTAAAGGCCCTGAGGCAGGAAACCGTAAGGAAGTTCTGGAATTGAGTGACTATGTTAGCAGAAAGAATGGTGGAGGTGAGGCAGAGAGAGGCAGAACCTCAGGGTGATGAGGGTTGTAGTTTGTTTTGTGAGGTTTTTTTTAAGCTCTGTGAGAAGCCATTAGAGGATCGGTCTACTGTGTAGGATGGACTTCAAACTAAAAGTTCAGTCGTGTGAACCTACCTGTGATGCTGGTGGTGGTGGTGGTGGTGGTGGTGGTGGTGGTGGTGGTGGTGTATGCTCTCAAATCAGAACCAACTCATAGCTAACCTTCCAGTGGATTTTCAGATTTACTACCCAAACAAAACCCAGAAAACCTCCCCCACGGAGCTATATTATTTGGTAATTCATGGGATTATCATGAGTCAGACTCAACTCAATGAGTGTAGGTTTTATTTCCAGATTTGGTGAGGCTGCCACTGAATACATTGTTAACTAATTTATTTCCTAACAGATTTCTAGAACCTGGCAGAGGTTCTGCCCTAAAGGGCAGAAAGGAGTTGGACAAGAAAATCGCATGGCCAGCCAGCGGTGCTTTCAGCCATGCCTGTGGTTTGCCTGCTCTGAGCACACATGTAGGGGTCACTCACTTCCTGGAGGCGGTTCCTTGGCGAGTCCTCTCACACTTGAGATCACATTACTGAGCACACGGCATTCCAGGGTTGTTGTGCTCTTCTTCCTTGGCTGCCCCTCAATAAAAATTTCCCGTGACGGTTTCTCTTTCTCTCAAATTTTTTTACAATCTTTCACCTTTGTGTATGCAGAGCTAACATGATAAAGAACATTGATAAATATTGTCGGAGCAGAGGAATATACATGGGCCTAGGGAGTCAAGGGCAGTGAGCATTAATGTCTGTCTGGGTTCGTTTTCTAGAAGCATCTGGTGAAGTGTCCCCTCTCTCTCTCATCGTCATCAAGTCAGAACTCACTGTGGTTTACCCTCCATCAGGTTTCCTAGTCTACAAATCATATAGGAGATTACCTTCCTCCTTCAGAGCAGCTGGTACAATCAAACCTCTAGAGAGGCACCAAATTTGGTTATCGTTGTAACTCTAGGGACTACAGCAGGTGATGGGAGAGTTAGAAGGATGGGCAGGGAGTTGACACAAACAAGTGCTTGACTATTGAAAGGTTAGTGGTTCAAACCCACCCAGAAGTGCCTCTACAGATGGGCTGGATCTAAAAAAAAATGTATGAAGCAGTTCAACGCAGCACACTGTAGTCACACGGCGACAACTGACTGATGACAAGAGAAAGAAAGGAAAACAATAACGAAAGCCTCGAGGAATCCAGTGAGAGGCTGTGGACTGATTAAAACTAATCCAGATGAGGAAGCGTTGGATTAAAGAGATGAGTAGATATTAGAGCATAGAACCAGAATGATTGGTTCTGAGACAAAGATTGTAGCAATTCCCTTCTTACCCTAAGCGGTTGTTCTCAAACTGAACTAAAAAGTCATCAGGGTTCCTCCTGAGACTCTGCTCTGGATCCACACCTGCTTTTCATGACCTCCTTGGGGGACCTTGATGAAGTGTACTGGTGGCCTTCAGAACAAAACTCTGAAAATATAATTAGCAATTGCTTGTGGATTGTAAACTACTATGTGCGATGTGCTGATTCCCACCAACAGCAGCTCAGTCTTCTAAGTAGAATTAATGTCAGAAGTAAAAGTATTTTCCTGAATGTTGTTTCTTTTCTCTTTCCATCATGAAGTATATTCGGTGCTCTTCGAACTGGTGCTTATATGATGTACATTTTGATGACCAAAGGCCTGAAGCAGTCAGTTTGTGACCAGGGTTTTTACAATGGACCTGTCAGCAAGTTCTGGGCTTATGCCTTTGTGCTAAGCAAAGCGCCCGAATTAGG